AAAAGAGTGTTGTATAGCCCTTCCGTAGATGAGATACTATTAAAAATTTTGTCATATGTACCTTCTAGAATATTTACTGTATCCTCGTGGTTTGTTTTTTTTTTTTTTGTTTTTTGTTTTTTTTGGGCTAATGCAGTGCATATAAGTAGCATGTTAATTCCATACATGCTCCTTGTTTTTCTTTTTGAAATTGCTTACAGTATTTGTTCTCTATTTGTGATTACCAATTTCAACATGTACCGAGATTGTTGGTATATTAATTTTCAAGCTTGGAACAAGAGCTACCTTTTTTGTGTCTTAGTTTTAGCAGTGTATAAAGCAGAAACAAGCATGGCTTATTATGATGTTGTATCTATACAGTTCCTTCTTTTCAACCATTTCTGAGATGGCAGCTGTTTAGCAGTGCAGTTTTACTGAAAATTAGTCTTGTGCCTGGCATCTGAACATGTAGGTCATCCCCTATCTACTCATCCTCAAAGCATTCTGGTGAGATGGGAACATCACCCTGTTCCCTTAGGGGACAGAGGTGATACATCTGAGGTCACAGTGTCACAGGGAAGAGAATTAAACCTGGAATTTCTAAATCCCTGTCTGACACTCACCTGAGCATCAAATTCACTGTAACTTATTCAAGTGTCAGTAGTGCATCTACTTGAATTAAACTGTACCATGTCCCAAAGTTATTTTGATAATATATGACCTTGTGTAGAAGGTGTAATTAAGAATTTGACTAGAACACCAATGCCAGGTTTCATTTATCCGAGCAAGCCATATTAACCATATCAAACAATGAAAGCAAATGAAATATTGGTAATATACATAGAGCTGATTTTTTAGGAGTTTGTTTCTTTGTTGAGGACAACAGTCCTCATCATAAAAACTGTGTATTTTAGTGAGAGAGTCTCTGTCTGATTGTTTTCCTCTCTGTCTCTTTGTTTTGTCTCTAAGCATTAAAATATGAAATTGAATCTCAGAAGAAAATGGGCATTATTGTAGCAGGTATCATCTTCACAGCTGCTGCTGTTGTAGGCACTGTGCTTTTTGTCCAAGGTAAGTGTATTAAAATTGCCTTCCTAGTTTAAGCAAATAAGAGCACAATGAATCTCTTCCATGTAGTATTATGGAAGTTAGTACCACCCGTTAATTGCCATCTACTAATTTTAAAATGAAAAAAAACCACCAACTGTAGAATACAACAGAAACAGCATTGTGGTTGTCAGGCCTTCAGATGATTATAGGGAGATACAGACTGCAAGTTTGTTTCTATTTTCTGTTCTGCTACTGTGGGTAGGGAGTGACTTCTGGTGCTTCAGTGGAATTTTTTTCTGGACCCTAAAATTTTGATGATACTAATGATTTACTGTGTTGCTTTGTGCTTTATTCCAATCAAGGATTTCTGTTTTACTAATTTCCATACATATGTTTGCAGATGGCTATACTGCACAGAATCAAGCTGGTCTTGGCCTAATTGTAGTCCCTGCTGTGATTTTGGTACCACTTCAGTACTTTATGTTTGGCATTGGTGAGTATTTATTTACTAACTAGCTCAAGAAATACTGATATGAAAACTGAGCCCCCTCCTTCCCCACCAATCTACATACTATTTCCATTTTTATAAGTAGGTGCTACAATAGTGTCCTGGATTCCTGACTTTCCTACTATTTCAAAACAAAATGTTTGACCTGTGTTTGTTTGGCAAAGTTGCTTCAGGGAAGAAGTGTAAGTTACCTATTTGAAAAATGAGATGTAGGGTAGGACATCTAAGTGATTCTTGCTCTTTCTTCCTTGGTCGTGGGACTGGGATGAGTAACTAACTCTCAGAATGTAAGTGTTTAATTTTTTCTACTTGTGTTTTGTTTAAAAATGTATTTATATGTAGAGACATTTTTGTGTGTGGATACATACAAGAGCCCTGAGTGACTTGCAGTGACTTGTGAGGTTTTTTTATCACACTGTCTGGCTGAGCTTGGAATTTATGAGAATCTGATTTCTTGCTTTATGTGAATGATCTACCTTTTGTGTCTCTGTAGTTAAACTTTAAAAATTACAATTTTGTTTCTGTTTCTGTCTTTCCCAGTTTTTGATGGTCTACCACAAGCAACATTTGCTCTGATAGGTTTGCAGAGTCTTGGTTATATAATTGCTGTGGTTGGTTTTGCACTGTGTGTCTCAGGTAAGCAATTTCTCTTCTGTATAAGTGTCTTCTTACTTTTGTCAATACCCAGTGTTTATTTGTAACTGTGGAAATGGCTTCACTACATTGTGTGTTAGCAAGTAACTTTCATAAATGTAGTTTAGGATTGCTGTGTTAATGCTCCTTTGTCTGGTGAAAGAATAGCTCAAAGGCTATTATATGTAGTATTACATGTATCGGTTTTATTAGTATGACTATATCGAGCATGACTGCCTTCTGTGCTTTAAAAAAAAACATAATTAATTTTGCAACAGTTAGTGCCCTAAAGAGTCACCTAAAACCAACACCGATCTTTATTATTGTTATTCTTACTGAGGCCTAGGGCATTTGGAAACTAAACTAGAGTAATAATAATTTTCTCATGTTTAATGAATAAATCAGAAATTCCTTGTTAATCTCCACTTGTATATGACTGATAACTGAGTTGCTGGGAAACGAATACCATTGAAACAACCTAAGAAGGCAAATGCAACGACAGAAAACTTGGAGTGTTTTCGATCTGCTTGTGGCTGGCGTTCTGTTTCAGCACTGAGAAACAGTCACTGTTGTAAAGAAACACCAACTAAACACCGCACACATTGATACCCTTTATGCCTGCCTCTTACCCTCCTTCTGTCGCCTGCCTGCCTTCCCTTCCGCCCACCAGAAAACCTCACAGCAGAGAAAAGGGTGAATTTAGGACTAGGCGTCCTTGGCAGTATATTTAGTAGTAGAATACATACTAGTGTTCATTGGAAGCAGTTTATACTTCTGATTTATTGTTTTGTAGAGACATTCTTCATTTTAGTAGTTTATTTGGTTGGTGATTTAAGAAAAACTATTTCTCCTTGAAGTGGTTTCTAAAGGTTTGTCCTATCTGGGTGAAATTATAGACCTTTCAGTGGAGTTGTGATTTGAGTTTTATGCTTCTTGTTTAGTATTTACAGAAGTATTTGTAAGGGGCACCTAAGGGTTGCCAAATGTAATAGTAAAATAAACTGATGGGAGATGTCAGGTAAAGCATTAATCCTCTAGAGTAATACAAAATAGAGGATGTTTTTATTATGCTCTCAAATGGAAAGTTTGGACCTTTTCACAGGTCATATAAGGTAGATCTTATCTGTATTTCTGGAAGTTCAGCTCAGTGACCCTTAATTGTCAGTAGAAATAGCTTGTCCTAGGTTGAGCTCACTGATAGTTGCAATGACATCAAGCCCTTGGAAACAAGGCTCAGAGAACAAGGCGTTTCTGTAGTGAACTATGATTAGGTTGTAATAGTCCGTTCCTGCTCTGTGATATGCTGGTAAACATGGAACGTTCCTGTTATTGGTGGGGTATTTGCCTCAGAACTACCCTCATATTCTGCTCCCTTCTTCCCTTTTTTTACCTTTTTTTATCAGTAACAGGATTGTGTTCTGTAATCTAATGCAATTATAGTTCGAAACCATTGGGACTGAAACTGTAAGTTTCAATGTAAAATACAATTAATGAAAGAATGTTGTCAATTGCAGTGCATGACAGCAGCATAGCTAAACTGCAGTAGAGTAGTACAACTAAGCAGGATAAATCAGTAAATGGCCTCTGTAGCATTAAAGGATGTATGCAGAAAGAAAGGTGCAGAAGTGGTTCTGGGGTAGTTTTGAAAGAGAAATTAGTCACATATGTTTTTATCAGTCTTATTATTTAGTATTCGGTTATATCAGAAAATAAAAGTTTGTGCTTTTACTTATGGCAGATGATACAGTTTCTTTTACTGTGTTTTTAACAGCCTGTCCTCCATTACATGGGTCTGTTGTGATTGCTGGCTTAGCTATCATGGCTATTGCAAAATTGCTTAGTCTGGCTTACGTGTTTATTGTGGGTAAGTAGCACCTACTATTTGGCATTATGTTTTTTTTAGCACTTAACTATTCAAAGAGCAATTTTCTCCATTGTACTTTCCAGAGGTAGACAGTTTATTTGAACATAAGGTGTGATTTCACAATTACATAGTTTAAAAAAATTACTGAAAAGTTGTCTGTGTATATATTGGCTTTGTTTCATAGAGCCTGTGAGCAATCTTGAGTAACGAAATTTACAGCCTATCAAAATAAAGTGTCTTGAGATCAACACAGCCAGGCTTCTTAAGTAAGAGTGTTTCAAGTGTAAGACGGATGTTACTGTTTAAGCTCTACATTTACAGGGCTGGCTAGCTGAAGCTTAGAACAAAGAGAGCAGAAGGATTTCAGGGATTCTATAGAGTGGGTTATGGGATGGTACAGACAAAAGCTTATCAAAATATTAATTTAAAGAAGCAAAATCTGCCTAGTAATTTCCACTGGTTAGAGGTAGATTAAAATCAGAGCGATTTGAATGCACACCTTTCATTTTAGTGAATCCCATTTTTTCTTATGCTTAATTTTAAAAGCCAGGAGCAAAGAATAGCAGTACTTTGTTTCAGAAACTGGTCTGTTAACCAGATCTCAAAAAGATGAGAGATTTAAAGGTATAAAAGCCAGTCAGGCCTGCTAAATAAGCAAAAAACATCACAATGCTGTGTGATTGGAATACTGGCACACCACAGCGTAATATTATGCAGACTTTACAGCTTGGATCTGAGAGCAGAGTGACTTTGTTTGTTTCAAGCTGTGCATGAAGGCTCTTCAAACAGCTTGTTGGTTTGGACGCAAAACCATGTGACTGAGGATATGTTGCTTCCAGACTGAACAGTCTGCCAGGTTTAGTATGTGCATACCACGTGTGGGCATGGTCAGAAATAATAGACCCTGAGACAGGGAGGATTTCCATTAAAGAAGAAATTAAGGCGGAGTGCCTAATACTTGATATCCAAGATAGAGGAAGATGAGTCAAAAATGTGACAGAAGTGAAGCAAGCCTTTTAACAAAGATAAAAGTAATTTTTATTCACTTTGGACTACTCACATATACGACTGATACTGTGTGCTGATGGTCTGCATAAATATTACATTTGTAGTTTGATTATGCTGGCTGAAGAAGTCAAGTGTGACCGTTGGGGCAGATTCCTGCACGTCAAAATAAACACAAATAGTGCGTAGGGTAATTCATTTTTAGAGCTGAATGCGTGAGTGAGACAATTCACAGACTGTACATGGTAAGATTATTCAGTACCTAAACAGAGGAGTGCTTAGAGGCTTTAAGAATTTGCAAATCATCATATTAAGTAGTTTTGGAAAGGAGAAGTTTCAATTTTGTGTGTTGCTACTCTGTTCCAAGTATTATCAGTAGGTATTTTTATTCAGTTGATCATGACATTTATTAATCTGCCTGGTTACTTTTTTGTAATCATTTTAGGTTCCAGAATGAAAGATCATCCTCGTCCAGGGGTAAGCTTAAAATTAATAAATTTGGGGTGACTAGATGGCTCAGGGGATTGTAGTGAGATACTGAACCTTTCTTCACTAGTTCGAATTCAGACCAGGTTGGTAGAAAGCAAAAGTTCTGGCTGTGTAACAGATGTCTAATGTTGAGTGAGTTGGTGGTCTTCATTGTCCCTATTGAGTGTGTCTATAGTACTGTAATTGCCACCCTTACCTAACAGCTACTCCAACTGTTGTGCCCAAATGGAGTTTCAAGGGCTGTCACAAAAAGGTGGTGGATGTGAAGGGAAGTTTGGTGTTCTTGTACAATGCACTCTATCACATGAATGTATGAAAACCTTTTGCCCTTTTGCTCACCTTAATGAAAATGCTTTTTGGTTAAGGTGGGTGCAGAGTAACATTGAATTTTTTTATCTAGGTGGCTTAGGACAAAGACTTAGGGTTTTTTTCCTATGGTCTTTTACACCAGAACCCCTTAGTATTCTCTTGAATTCCCAGCTAAACACATACTATAGCCTTGATCTTTTTATTCTTTTCTTATTTTCCTATGATGCCCCTTAATTTGATGAGACCATCTGAAAGCAGAGTGTCTTTAGGTCACACAGAACAAGTGGTAAAGCACTTAAAGTTTTCTTAAACAAGGTTTTTCAGTTTTCAGTCAGTGTTTTTGAATTTTAGAGTAATCATTCCTAAAACAGTAATTTTCATAGACTTATGCACTGCTTTCTAGTGATCCATGAATGTGAACTGCCTGATTTCTGGAGTCTTGCAGAATGAAGTAAAGAGGCACAAGTGTAAAATACCAGTAAAATTTCCTTGTAGCAGGGGAGCACGACAAAAACTAAGTCAGCCCGTTTCCTGGCTGGCAGCCATCGTTTGAGGTGCAGTTCCAGGTCTCCTCTTCAGTTTACAGCCTAAGACCTAGCTGTTGAAGAAAGATGGTTTCTAACAGTGGGGCAGGAGAGCTGACTGCAGTTAGGACAACAGATTTTTTTGTTGTTGTTGTTTTCTTTTGCCTTTTCTCATCCATTTTCATTTTAAGGAATACTATTTCAGAGGATTGTTCTCTTACTTATGGAAAGACTTTAAGTGCATGGAGTTTAAAAAAAAATAAAAAAAGAAAAGTTCACAAAGTTCATTATGTTATAAAAATGAGCTGAAAGTGTATTATAGATCCGCTTATTTCAAAGTGCAGTCTTGCCTTTATCTAACATACTCATGTTTATTTGTAGAATGGAAGTAAACAGGGCAAGAGGAGATTTTTTTTAAACTTAGTTTTTGATTGTAAATAAGCTTTGAAATAGGAAATAGGCTAAATAACATAATTCATGGAGTGCCGTTCTCTTTATGAGCTCTTCTCTTCACAAGGTGGTTTTACAGTGCAGCAGGGATTTGACAAATAAAGAAATAGCCACAGTGATGTAGTAGTGAACACCATGTTACTCTCCGAATGGGAGGTAGGAATGAAATCTAAATAAATTTTTAAAACTTGGAGGCCATTGGAGAGCTCAGACACTAAAAATATGGTTTTTGCAGCTAGTTAGTGGAGGGTCAGATAGAGGGGAATTCAGGTGACAATAATTTGTGCCCATTGAACTTAGGGAAGTTGTGGAAAGACCTGGTGGAAACTTAAGTATGTTAATATGCTGCTTGTTTCCATCAAGGGCTGTTCAGCATGTATTGCTGTACTTTGAGGCAGGTGTGAAGTAATGTTGAAAATACACTTTGATTCTGTGTAATCTAAAGACTGCAAAACTTAATATCAGTGATGTGCTTAATTTTGACACTGGGGCACACTTAAAAATGATGCTTGATATTTTCTTGAGTCTGAGTGGGGAAAGGTGCGTATTTTCAAATCGACCATCTTAACCAATTACTGATTATTTTTTTTAACGTTTCTGTAGATTGCGTGTGTTGTTTCTGATGATTGTCTACCAGACTAAATGCACAAGTGTGGTGTATTTCCTTTTGAAGAGATTACGCTTGATTGCTTGGCTACTTTTTTTTTTTGTCATGCTGCTTTATTACTAACCATTAATCAAATCACAGAAATAACGTTAGGCTTTAGAGCATAAAAGTAGTATCTGCATGCCTTTTGCTGCCACCTAGAGGTATTTCTTCTGAGGAGGAATTTACAGTGGGGGGAAAATAATCTGGAGAATGCAGTTATTGACTGATTTAATTTTTTACAGAACTCTAGTCACTAACTTTATTAACATTCAGCTTTCTTCATTTTTGTAGAATCACTACTTACTGTATATGTCAATTAGAGTAATTTAACTGTGGCGAGCCAAAAGTAAACATGAAGGCTTTTTATACATATATATATTTTTAAATGTTTTGCAGAAAGCTGTAGAAGAACCACTAAATGGTAGGTGACATTCAAGGCTTCTCTTCTACTTAAGGGGTTAGTTATGGAAAAAGGTTAAAAAATAATTGTAGTTCTCAGTACTACAGCATTGCAATGGCAGATTGGTTTGTCAACTTACATGGCTCTGTGAGTCAGTAACAGTTTGATGTCTCAATTAAATTATGCCTGCAACTCCAGGCACCCTGGTCTATGCCACTGTGCTTGCTAGCCAGTGGCATTGTTTAGCTGTTTTAGGACAAGTCTAATATCTCAGGAGATTATTCCACCCTCTTCGCTTTGCAAAAGTCCAACTTTTAAGAGGAAAAGAGAGGACAGGTCTTGAAAGTTGATGTTAATTCTTCTTCATGAGTGTTTAACTTGGTGGAATACTTACAGCAAAATCTATCCTTGTCACTCTGTTCTTTTAATATTTCTTTGGGTTGGAGAAACTACCATCATGGTTGGGATACTCTACCCATCAACATCATGGTTGGGATACTCTGATAGCACTTACGATTGGGGAAATTTTTAAAAGGGATGAATCTGAAATTTTTTTTTTTTTTTGCTATTCTGTTCACTATTTGGCATGCCGAGTAGTAGCAAATTCTAACCTGAATTTTAGAATTAATCTGAATATTAATTATGAAGCATTTCTTGCTGTTTGGCTCATTACTAATCCATTTGCTTGGCTTTTAAAGATGCAAAAGGAGTGATGTTAGAATGATGGTAAGTCCAAATATATCTCCAGATATTTATTTTAATTAACATGTATTTGGGGACTTTGATGTTTCAAGTTATCCAGTGCTAATGTGATGAAACTTGGAGGACAGGTTTCAGTGCAGGTGCTGTTCTTACTCAAATTCTATTTCATTGAAAAGAAAGAAAACATATTTTCTGTATCATACGTAGGGGAAGAATGTATATTTCTAAACAGAGAAGAGGATGAGTCAGTGAGAGAGAACTATTAAAATAGTATGTTTCTGATCAAATGTGGAAAGTCAAATAGTTTGTATGCTTCCTTTATGCTTACATAGTATTTAAGATGCATGGACTTTTTTCTTGATGGTGGGTTGTTGTATTTGTTTTTTGAGGGTTTTTTTGTTGTTAATATAACTAAGTCTTCTCTATGTATTTAATTGGTGATTTCCCATGGAGGTTCACAGAAAAGTGGTTTAAAATAGACTTCTACCCCGCCTTTAGATGTTATTTAAATTCTCTTGGGTTTTTTTAGACTGTTTGTATTCCAGTCAGATTTCACTCAATTTGTTATTTTTCAGGGTCAGATAGTAGTGTTTGAAAATTAACAGAACTGAAACACATGTTAATAGAATTTAAGAACTGCTTAAATAACTTCAGCTTATTTTTGACAAACCTGAATTTTTAACTTTAAGATCTAAAGGTGCACACTGGCTAGTGCCAGTTGGTTATGCTTGATGTTTAAAGAACGATCCTTAGTGCTGGGATTAGGCCTTTTTGATTTTATAACAGCCTGTAAGACGGCAACACTGACTACATATAAATAGACTCCTCCTAATTTACAATAAGCCATGAAATGAGAGGGACGGTATTAACTTGGCCCAGAATTCCCAAACGGGTGCTTCAAGCGGGTAGCCAAGTTTGTGAATATTCTTGGTTCCTGCAGCTCATATCCATCAGAAGAGAGTTTTCCTGTCCAGATTGTAGAGAGCGTAAAATTTAAGCTCTCATTGAAGAGCTTAAATTTTGGATCAGATGCTCAAGTATGAAAATGAAAACAGTCTTTTACTGATTCTTTTCTATTCAGAAGCTATACTTCCTTTTCATGGGAGTACTTGTTCAAAGAGCACTTGTTGATGCTGTTGGTACTTCTGTTTCTTCCTGGAAACTGAGCAAGCTTGTCATCAAGTATCACTAGACCCTTAGCCTAGTACTCATGCATCAAATTACAACATTTTACTAGTCAGGATAAAGAGTAAGGTCACTCTAAACCTGTTAATTTAACTTGAAGTATTTGTATATCATGCCACTTTTCGAAGGCATGAATTGACAATGTGACAAGAAATGAGGTACTAGTTAACCCTAAGTGGAAGAAGGTCTATCAGTTGATTTTTGAAAACGGGCTTCCTTACAAGTACCATGTGCTGCTAGGTTACTTATGCTAGTTAGTTATGACTACTGCATGATTCATCCAGGTATGCCATAGGATTATTTTCTAAAGCAATAGGAATACAAGCAGTTTTGCGGTACAAAGGACAACTGCATTAGTGTCTTCTAAATGCATTGATAAAATGTATACCAGATAGTAGAATCTGAAGTAGGAGTGGAAGGTAGGTCCTGCCTCAGAAGTAACTATTCCTTGTTCTTCATGGCAGTGGTTTGAGATCAGGAAACAAATAGATATTTGCCAGTCTATTGCATTCAAAACTGACCAGAAGGGAGATAAGGCTGGGACTAATAGGGTTCACATACTGCTGAAGAACAAGGTAGAGTTTGCATGGAGATCCAATTTTAAACAAGTTGACTGTTTCTTCTTGGGTCTCTTTAAGGCTTATAAAAATATCCCACCTCTTTTAGTGCTGAGGTGGAGCTTCCAAAAGGACAGAAATTGCTAATTATCCATTTCATTTTGACTTTTAGGGTAGGGTTAGAAGTCTGTCTTATTTTTCTGCCTTGAAAGATGGCTCCTAGAAATAACAGAAGCTTTTACAGTTCGAAGGCAAAGGCTCTGATGTGCAAGCTGGAGGCAGGAACCTTTTGAGCTCTACCTGCTTTCTAGCTTAACCTTCCCTTGAAAGTTTGCACACACACAAGGGATGAGTCAGATGCTGAAGCACACTAGCTTACAAAATGGCACATGAAAGTAAACCAGCATTCGGAGGAAAGACAGGACAGGTCAGACAGATAAGGCTGGGAGCCCCTACAGCTTATTCCAATTCAGAAGTTGGAGCTCCAGGACAGTGTCCACTTTTCTGTTGTGGAGAGGCTGAAATATAACTTGCTGTTAGTACCACTCTTTTTTGTTATTTGAATGCTAAGTGGGCTTTCAAAGTTTGAAATTAAGTAATTTTTTTTAAGCTGTAACTTGAGTAAGCAGCATAAAATGTTGCTGCTCTTCCCAAACTATCTTTTTTTTTTTTTTTTAATTCCCAGAACTGAAGAGCTGTGTGATGTGAAAAGTACACCGTTGTTGATACACCGTGGCCTTGAAGATGCACTACTCAAAGAGAAGACATTCAGGAAAATAGTTGTTTTGCATGTGTGGCAAAAATGCTTTTGATATAAATGATGTAATTTTATAGTCACAGCAGCTGTAGCGAGGAACATGTGTGTTTGCCCACATGTGATCTTTATTTTCTTTTGTTATGGTATGTATGGTATGGTCGAGGGTGAGAATATAAAAAAGCACTGTTTGCCCACTACAGGGTCTTCCTGCAGTAATCCTTAGTGGTATTATTTTCAAAAACTATCATTAGTCACTGCTTTGAATAATGGGCCTGCTCAGCCCAAAGATTGCAGTACCATTTAGACTATTGTTTTCTTTATTTGTGTGCATGGGCAAGGTATGATCATATGTCTATGATACAAGCAGGAAGTAAAGATTGTACAAATACATCTTTTCTGACATTCAGCAAGACTTTTCTAAAAAAATAAATAAAATGCTTATACACAAAGTTGCATAAGTACAAAATTTACTCCCAGCTCTCCTTAAGTTATTGACCAAGTTCTCCTAATTCCATCAAACAGTAATATTCCTCTCTATGGACAGTAGTCATGTATGCTCTGGTGGCTGATATTTTAGTCCAGTGAGAGAGCTCTCCGTGCCTCTTCGGTATTCTTTGATGAGAAACTGCTCAGCTGTTTGAGCCTAATTCAGCACTGGAATTATGGAGCCCAGCAGCTAGTAATTTTCATGCTGAATGTGGTTCTTGTGTGTGTGTTCATGTTGTGCAGTGTGTGATACTGGAAGCAATTTCAGCCTTTCTTAACTCAGTAAATTTGTAAAACTCATTGATGTTTCATAAAAATAGGAGTTGTCCTATTTAGTATGTTTTCAACAGAGTTTAAAAATTTGTTTTCTTCAATGGAAAAAGGAGCTATTTCATTTCTGACCTAAGTTTGTGATGCTGCCATTGCATCACAAATACATAAAATAATAAGTAGGAGGAGCTGATGAGAAGTAAGGAGGCTCAGTTTCTGTATATACGTAAGTAGTACAGGTAAAAATCCATTTTCTACGACTTGCACATTCCATGAGATTTTACCATGTTTTACAATGGTTTTGAGAGTTGTTCCAGTATAGTTGGCTTCTCTTGGACTTTATGTATACTTTGTAGAAATCTTCACACTGTCTCCTGTTTGTACTAAGGTAATATATTTCAAAAGCACACATGGTTTTCTCCTTCTAACAATTTAAAACTTAGTTTTGAAAGCTGATGCCAAACAGTAATGTAATAAAATTCATGTTTTTAAAGATTCTGAGTAATTTGGCACATGTCAAAGTTGGATGTTATAAACTATGGTTTATATTCATGTTGTGGCTGCATGTTGCAGAGATTCAAGTCTCTGCATGTTGAGTTCAAAGTCTCAATGCAGGCACCTTGCATCAAGAATTCAACAAAATAAAATTGAGTTATCTGATTTTATGATATTTAACTCTCAAACAGCTCTCTTGCTAGGGCTGCAGGATTGAATCACGTAGAGCAACCCATGGTCCAGCCCTCACTAGAAGCAGTGGAACTGGCCACAGTTAAGAGGGTTACTTGTGTGAGAAAACATTTAAGAAGCATGTATGCTTTACACTTACTTTCATACCTTCAGGTCAGTGGGAGTGTTCATCTAAGATTTGAGCTCCTATATATGGGTCTTTTGGTACAGGTTTTTCCATAATAACAGCAATCTCTACCTAAAGATGGGAGATTACTCACCATTAACAATTCAGTGCAAGAATATACCTGATTAAGTACCATGCAGAGCTCTCTAGTTATAACTAGTGATTCTGTCTGGCAAGTTGAGGAGTAAAAAACAAAGCAGCTGGATTTCTGTTGAGATATTCTGCCTTATGAAAACCATTATGTACAATAGCTTTATGTTTATTTCTGTAAAGCAAACTGGAGCAAAACCCCTTTGTGTCACTATGGGATGAAGCTGAGCTGTGAGTAGGCATAGTCAAAACATGAGGAGCTCAGTGGCTGCGTACAGGCTGCAGAGTCAATTGCCCCAGAAATGAGAGAAACCCGCCATCCTGTTGTTGTGTTAAGGGCTTTGCTGTGGGTTTCTTGTGGGTATAAATTGGAAAGTGAGAGTTTAAAAAGTCATTGATACACCCAGCCCTTTCCCACCAGTAATTTAAAACCAAAGTTGTTCATAACTGTATGCTTCCTTTGTGTGTGTACGTGTGTGTATATATAAGTATAAAGACATTTTAAATATCTATAGATCTATAGTCTTTACCCAAGAAAATGTTTTTATTTATGAAACATGAAATGATTTTGTAAATATTGTGCTAATATACTTAAAAATAAAGTAATTTTAAGTTGTTTTTGTGAGAGATTTTCTTCTTGCTATCACATTGAACTTCTGTAACTGCTTACATAAATTCATAGTCATAGCATGTCTTCTCCCTGCCTTTACAGCCTCTCTCCCTCCAGCTTATTTACTAGATATACAAGAATGTTCCCAGTGTTACTTAAGCTTTGGTTTTGGTTGGGACATCTTGGTGTTTCTCCTTAAAAAGGTCATCTAGTTGGGAAGGAAAGTGCCCTGTAACAACTTGAATTGGGCTGACCAGCCGTCAAATGTAGTCACCCAAGTGTGCTGTGGGAGAAAATACAAGTCAAGGAATAACAAGCTCCAGTGTAATTCTAAAAACACAGCAGAGCAGTGCATGCTTTCAGTCAGTCTTTGCAATGCTGAAGTAACATTTCTGTGAGAAGAGTTTCTTGTGTTACTTCTAAAGCACTACTGCATAAGTTCTAGATTTTGTGAAGTTGTGTTTGACTTTTTTTGAGAGCGTAGAAACAAGAAAAGACTGTAAGTACCGTCTGGAAGTGTTTCCACTCACACTTCCCCTTCAGTGGAGCTGAGCTGGTCAGAACAGTTAAAATTATTAGCAATTCCCTGCTTCTTCAGGGTGATTTGAACCATGGCTCTTACATCAAGATCTCTTCTGAAGGCTTTTGTGATTTCCTGACATGCACTTTCCTCTTGTAGTGGTTTGTAAAACCACATGGACAGTCCTTTGTTAAACACCTGGTGGGCTGAGGCAGGGACAGGGAGGGTTTCACTCGCCACTTAGGGTCACGGGCAAGAAACCGACACGACTTGGGAAGAACAAGAAAACAATTGAATTTATTGACTATTTTCAACTGTCCTGGGTTACGCAGAGTGTTAATTTTTTTTTTTCTCTTCTTCATAAATAGCTAGCAAGAGGCTGTGTTTTGGATTTATGCTCAGGAGAAAGAGCTGATAAGAATGATGTTTTGTTCTGCTGCCAAGGTCAGCAGATGAGCAAAGAGACACAGTCCAGCTGCTAGCTGGGATTTGCTCTTGGGTTAAGACTGAAACTCGGAACAGCCAATAATTTATTCCATATCATA